AGGAATGTGCCCTGGAGTAAAGCCTGCCCTGTGCCTTCCTCCACCCAAACCCTTGCCCCTGTGCTGGAGGAGCTGGCCCAGTCTTGGGCCCTGCAGCCCAAGCAGTCCTCCTCCAGGAGCACAAAGAACAATCCCTTTGGCAACGTGTGCTACAAGGGGCAGATTAAAGACTGATCCCAAAGGCTTGGGTCAGAGTTTATAAACACAAAGGGGCTTTAATGCAGCCGGGCTCGGGAGGGATCAGTGCCCCCATGAGCAGCGCACGGGGTTGGTGTCCTGGGCTGAAAGGACATGGGTGCTGCACAGGGGGTGTGTCTGGATGGAGAGACCAGGACTGTGCTGGCAGAGCCGTAGAGAGGCTCCTCGTGGGGCTTGGCAGCAGGATGCTCCAGTTGTGTGCCCAGACCCCGTGCCTGTGGCATGCTCGCCACAGACTGGCCTGGGGAGCTGGATGTGGGCAGTGTGAGCATGGTGGCACAGCCCAGGCACCATGATCAGGTTATTGTTTTCAAAGGATGGGACCTGGCTGTTGTGGCTGGTTCCTGCTTTGGGACCTGCACTCTGTGCATCTCTGCATGTCCTGGTACCTCCTGGCTCACTGAGCATGAGGAATAACACCCCGCTTTCCCCCTTTTCTGGGCCATGAGCACCACTTGACCCCCCACAGCCTGAGACTGATCTGCAGACAGGGGCTTTTTCCTCGGGGGCACATCAAGGTGGTCCTGCCCTGGTGTCCCCTGCTAACCAGCCTCATTCCACAGGACTTTGACTTGGGTCTGGCCCAGGGCTGGGTCCCTGCAGGGAGAGGAGGCTCTGGCAGGATCCCAGTGCTCCCTGTGGCTGAGCACAGGGCATCGTGTGCCCAGCCGATAAGAGAGCAGGATGTCTGAGCTAGAAGTGAGGCTGCTGCCCTGCCTGCCACACACAAGCCATTGAACTTCTGCTGGAGTTCAAGGCGAGTGGGCAGCACCGATGGCCACGTTGCTGTCAGGCAGCATCCACGCTGCGAATGGCACACATGTTCCAGTGTTGCTGGGTGCCCTGCAGCTGCTTCAGGCTCTGTACCCCCTAAAATGTGAGAAGCTGGGGGTGGAAGGGGCAGATACATAGGGGGACACCATCTGGTCTCCCTCCTTATTGCCTGGCTCTGCCGAGGGGTGCCTCATGCTCTGTTGCAAATGATCCTGAGTCCTGTGGGTGCATGGTCCATCCCCATGTCCCTGTGGTGAGGTCTTGTGGGAGCAGCCAGGAGTATCAGGTACCTGGTGTACCGGTGCCTTTCTGATGTGGGACTAGCCTGCGATTGTGCTGACTCCTGACCCTGCCAAAAGCTGCTCCTAGCCTTCCTCCTGGGCTGCAGGACATGCCGAGCAGCACGCTGGTAATGGCAGCGTCTGCCTGAACTCGGCAGGAAAGTGTTGTTAGATGGTGTTGGATGTCAAGGAGGGAAGGGAGCTGGCGCTTGCGGCAGCGCCAGTATCCCAAAATGGGAGGGCCGAGAGGGAGCGAGCAACAAGGGGAGAAAGCACGGAGGAGGGAGCCGAGTGAAAGGGGGAAACTCGGCACGATCGCAGGCTGCTCGGGGAAGGGGGGTGGTGTTTAGTGCTCAGCTGGACCGGGGGGGCTCTGCGTGGCTGAGCACAGAGCCTTTCTCGCCTGTGAGGACAAGCAGCGACTGCTGGTACCCTGCTATGTTTTCCTGCTGGGAGTCCTCTTTTTGCATGTTATCTCCCAGTACGCTCATCGCGGCAGCAAGATTGTTTCCCCCCACATTTTTGTGAGTGCTTTGCAGTCCCTGCCCGGGCTGTGGGTGCTCAGAGGTAGGGCAGGGCGGGCAAAGAGCTGCAGCACCCACTGCCGAGGTGCAGCCACGTCTGTTGTGGTGAGTGGCAGCAGTTCAGCAGAAGGGAGACCGGGCACCGCACAGCCTTCTGAGGAAGAAGACGTGCTCTGGTGGGAAGCACGGGAGGCAGGCTCAGATTATGTAAATTGACATTTGGGCAGGGCAGTGGTTGATGTTCATGGCAAAGGGCTGCGAAATTGAAAATGCCTCCATGTGGAAGGGACCTGAGTATTGCAGGGCTCCTCCTAGCTGTGCTGAGGCCGGGGCAGATGCCAAGAGCCCGACTCGGCGCCCGGGCTGGCATCACCTCGATGCTCTCTTGCAGCGCACCCGACCCTGCACAGCTGGGCTTGTGAGATGCCTCCCCAGGTGGGTGGCCTGGCTGTGCCCTAGCTGCGCCCAGATCCACGGGATGGGGAAACACACTTGGGTGGCTTCCGTGCGTGGATAAGTGCTCGTGGGTCCTCTTGTCTCTGATGCCAAGAGACCCCCAGGGAAGTCTGTTGTGTTGGGATGGATCAGACTGACTCCCAGGTGCAGCTGCAGCTTTTGGGGTGTTCAAAGCTGCGGAGCTGGTGGGAGGGGCAAGAAGGGTCTGGAGCCCCCTTGGCTGTGAGAACAGATGGGCATGGGGGGGGACATGTGAGCCTGGGGTGGGTGGCACGGTGCTGACGCAGCAGGGCAGGTGCCAGCATGGCGCTATTGCTCAATCTACAATACGATGTTTGAGTTGGTTTCAGTCAAGGCAGAGTCCCCGGAGGTGAGCAGAAAGCAGGGTGCTGGGGCAGGCCATGCCGGCTGAGTCACGTGCAGCAACGTATGCCAGCCCCGGGCTGCTGTGCCTTACCTGTGCCAGGACTGCCCCAATGTCCCCTGGGTGGGCTCCCCATGGTGATAGGCACCCTCGTGCTGCGGGAGGGGAATCCTGCCTAGGAAGCAGCAAACATGGCTTTTGTGTGCAAGCCATGACCACCTCGTGCAGGTAGTGCCAGGTGGGGCAGGAGAGTGGGGACAGGGTGGGGGAAGACAGGGGCTGTTTCCAGAGGAGGGCTGGTGTGCTCCGGATTTTGGTACATAATCAGTGTCTGGGGAGAAGGTAACCTTTGTGTGAGCAAGGTGGGCAGGATGAATCTCAGCTTGCTGCAGCACAGCTGGGTGCATCCCAAGGCAGTGCCATGCAAGCAGGCACGGAGAGGGCACTGCAGCCTCTCTCGGGGCACACGTGCTCCTGCCTGACACAGGCAGCTGTGGCTTGCCCAGCCCTCTGCTTGCTGCCCCTTCTTCATATGCCTTTGGGAGTACCCTGTACCTTGGCAAGTGCCTGCTGAGCATCAGAAGCACTGCAGAGGTGAGTCACAGGTGATGCTGGAGGGAGCCCTGAGGGTTGTTCCCATTTCTGCAACTCCCGATGCCCCTAAACACCCTCCAGCCCTTCCCAGCCTGGTTTTGCCGTGGCCACCCGCTCTCCAAGGCAGCAGCTTCACCAAAGGCCCCCAGCAGTGCCGATGTCTGCATCCTCGCTGAGAGGAGGGCAGGATCCCACTGGGCTTGGGGCCTCGCATAGGACATCTGGGCCTGGGAAAGTGTGCCTCTTCCTTTCTCACCCCTGAGCTGGAATGCACTCCTATTAATAGCGAATGGCTGTCAGGAGCCGTTGACAGTGGCAGGGATGGGGACTGGAGCAGGGACTGCTGAGCCTCCCTTGCTTCCCGGCCAGACTGGCAGGCATTTGGCCCTGCCAAGGGACAGAGATAGTATCGGGGCTGGACAGCACCTGCTAAATGCTCCTCTGTGTCCTTGTACCCTGGGGAGCTGCTGCAAGCAGGTGTAGGTGCTGCCCCTTGCTGATGGGTGCATGCACCCCTTCACCCTAAGACTGCCCCAACCTGGCACCCTCCGATCCTGCCCTCGTGGGCTGGGATGTGCCAACAGCCTGTCTGTGATGACGAGCATGCTGGTAAGAACAAGTCAGAGGAGGAGCCCATGAATTACCTGTCGTGCCAGTCAGGGCAGGGGCATAAAATCCTTATGGGCCATGTTTCTCTGCTTGGGGCAAATCCAAGCCCCACATCCCTTTGCCTGGAGCTGATTTCATGGAGAAGGGCTGCTGATAGCCAAGGTGTTTGGTTGGGGGCATCTGAGGAGAGGCTCTGGGGCATCTCTGTGCTGTTAGCCTGGGCTTTGCCAGCAGCTCTGGAGGAGAGTGATGGTGCAAGGGCCAGTGTGTGGAGCACTGCCATACCCTCAGGACCTGCCCCAGGAGGGCTTTGCTCCCTCTAGATCTTCACTGCCATGGCAGGGACACCCCCAGCCATGAGAGGCTCAGGGCACATCCTGCTCTGCCATGGCCACTGTGTGCCCCATGGGTGACATGGGATGTGCAGAGGTCCTGGCATGGGCTCCCCCATCCTCCCTCCTGCTTTTCTCAGGGAAAGGGTTTGTGTGTGGTAGGACCCTTGTGCAGCTCTGCATGGGAATTTGGGTGGTTGGGTGAGTTGGGCCAGGGGGCTGCCAGGACGGGAGCTGGGTATTTGGTCTGGCACATTTTCCTGTGGCAGTCTGCCCCTATGGTAGGGGCACATGCTGATAAGGAAGACGAGGTTTTGGTGCTTGCTTGCTTCTTCTGCAAATCCCCGTCTGCTCTTGCTTGCAGAGCTTGAGCAGGGAAGCTGCAGACCTGCCTTATTAAGTGCTTTGTCTTGGGATAGTGGGAGGTTTTGGCTGCTCCGGAGTAGCTGCAAGAGTGCTGGTCGGGCTGCTCAGTGACAGAAGCTAGTATCTCTGATTTTTCCATCATAAGGATGATAACAAAGTGTCAAGCCCTGGGGTTTTCCCTCTGGCCAACAACTGCAGGAGACCTGGCCTTGCTCAGAGGAGTCGGTGCCCTTTGGGAGCATCCCCCTCACAGGGGGAGGAGTGGGAAAATGAAGGCAGGGAGGTGGATTGAAGGCAGTGGGAGCCCAGAGACCTGCTGCCGGGGCTGGGAGTGCTGCCTGGCAGAGGTGTGTTCACTGACAACCTTTCCCTTCCATTCATGTGGTTTTTTTCTGTTTTGTTTTTTTTTTTCTCAAGGTCCTGGTCACAGTCACTGGAGCTATGAAGGTAAATACCCTGCAGTTACTCCTGCTTTCTTCCTACTAGCCGGCAAACTCTGGGCCTGGGCCATCTGTGGTTAATGATTACAGGGCTCCTGTGCGCACTCCACAGCTCACCCTTTCCTCCTGCCTGACCCTGATGCTTCAGTGGTGCCCAAACCTGGGCACGGATGGGCTGAAGAGACGGGGGTTGCTCTCATTTGAGCAGGAAGCAGTGACTCTGCCGAGGGTTTCCCCAGCCCCCTGGGTGTGGGGGGATGCCCCTTGGGGCAGGGCTCCTCCCTCAACAGGAGCTCCCCTCATCCTGTGCCAAGCAGAGAACCAGGCTGCGCTCTCCAGGCTGGATCTGCAGCCTGTGCTGGGACTTTGACCTGCCCAGGGATTAGCTTGTGTCCTCACCTCTGTCGTCTGTCACCCTCCCTCCCTATCCCGCCTGGCCCGGCCCTCCCATCACAGATTGGGGGGCGTCTGCACAGCACCCATGATGGGTGTCACTGCAGTGCTAGCACAAACGCACCCCTTCCCGGGGCGGTGGTGGGCCAGGCCCCAGCACCATCACTCTGCTTGGGGACCAGGGGCTGGCTTGGACCTGCTAATGCCCATCTCCATCTTTACAGGGATCCTACAAGGGGCTGGGCTTGGGGACAAGCCTGGGTTTGCACTGGCCCACAACATGCTAGGAGCAGCCCCCTGCAGTGCAAGGGGAGGCTTCTGGGGCATCGGCCATGCTTACCCCAGCTATGGCACTGGGGAGAGGTGACAGTTTAAGCAGCCGCCCCAGCCATGTGAGCTGGCCTTTTGCAGGGCTAGGTGCAGTTAACAGCTGGGAATCCATCAGACCTGTGGCTGTGGGCTCGTGTGATCCCAGCGGCACTGCGGTACCTTGCTCAGTAGCAGCGTGGGTGAAGTGGTAGGGTGGTACCTGCCAGAGGCCAGGCTGTGCAGGGCAGCTCGGCTTGCCGAGTCCACTTGTAAATGATCTTCTCAAGCTCTTCCCAAACACCCCAAAAATAGACTTTCCTGGCAGCTCACCACACTCTGAGACCTTTCCCGATACAGCTGCATGCAGTCACATGGTGGCCCAGAGCTGCTCCCAAGCTAACTTGATGGAAACTAAGCTTACATGCATGGCTTATTCCCAGGCCAGTGCCTGTCCCCTTCCCCACCACCCACCAAACCTCCTTTCTGACGGGCTCCTTGCCTGGGCGGTCTTACTGGCACTCCCTCCCTTCTTCCTCGTACCAGACCGGGAGCACTGGGGCGTGGACTACCCGGACTGTGGAGGTACCATGCAGTCGCCCATCAACATTGAGACAGCCAAGACCATCTTCAGCCCTGAGCTGCGGCCGATCCAGCTCTCTGGCTACAGCCTGCCTGCCAGCGAGAAGCTCAAGCTGAGGAACAACGGGCACACAGGTGGGTGCAAAGGCAGAGGATGGAGTGCAAGCAGAGCCTGCTCAGCCTCTCCCAGCAGGATCAGGTTTCTCTGATGCTCTTCACCTGGGCTCTGGGAAGGGGATTCTCTTGCAGGTCGCAGTCATGTTGTCTTCCAGGCCAAAAGGGAAGCATGGGGCTGTTGAGCCTTTACAGGTCCATGTGCTTTTCTGGCTGGAGGGGAGAAACCAGGAGATGGAGAACTTTCCACTCACTGTCTTTGGGAGCTAGGTTCAGGAATTTGTTAAAAACCCATGTTTCCTTTAAAAATGTGTCACTGGTATTTCCAGTGCAGGTTTGCAGCCACTGGTTCCTCCCCTGAATTTCATGTTCAAAGGACTAGTCAATCTCCGATGTGACTTAGGCTTTAAGGTACCTCTCAGTCTTTTAGGACACAACATTGGCCAGCTTCTTTAAGTCTGTGCTTCCGGGGGTGGGGCCTGGTGGCTACCAGCTTTTTCTGGGAGTAAGCTGAGTGTGTTGTGCACGCTGGTGTCTGCCAGTCCCCAAGCTAAGAAAAGGTGGCGGAGAAAAGGACTTAAACTTGCTAAAGGTGTGATAAGGCACCTCCTTGCCCTGGTAGCTAGCAAGATGGGGCTGACTTGCGCATGCAGCAAACTCAACAGGTTGGACTCGCTGTGCATGGTCAGATCAGCCGTGCGGTGCATGCACAGAGCTTTATGTTATGGCCTCCTGCCCTAGCGTGCCTTCAGAGTTAAACTAGTTGAGCATGGTAGTTGCTATTTTAGACACCCTGGCATCTGGTGTTGCTTGGTGTTTAGAAAAGCAGTCAGAGCATTTTCATTGGAGGGGGGAAAGTAGTTTCTCACATGCTTAAAAGGCACTTTTTTTTTTTAATTCTGGCAACTACCAGTCTGCTTTATGAAAAGCCATAAATAAATAAAAAGTTGCAAGTCCAGTAAGATATTTGTACAGTTACTCCTTTTTGTAATATAAAGTGTATTCGCTGTGTAAGCTTTAAGGGCCTGAAAATGACTCAGGTAGCTTGGTAGAAGGGTTGTAATGATTTAGCTATACAAAAGAAAGGTAAAAGCAGATAAATTCCCACGAAGGGAGCAGTCTCCCACTTCCCGTATTTGAGTTTTGTATCTCTGCACCCGGTGGCAGGGAACATGGGAGAGGACAAATGACTCATCACAGCCCTGTTACGTGGTTAATCCCCAGTCTGTGCCCTAGCTCTGTGATGTGACTAAAGGATACACTTCACCTGTGAAGAAGGAGGAAAGAAAAGAGTTGATATTAAAAATGAGGAAGAGTTGCTTAGAAGGATAGGACCAGACTTTCTTCAGGGTCCAGGGATGCTCCTGATATTTTTGCCACATGTCCATGTAACTCCGCTTTTAGATTTGCTACGCTACTGCATGAGACCAAGATAGCTGGCTAAACCACACTGAATTAAAAAGAAAAACCAAGTATGTATTTACTGTACCCAAAGAGGCAAAATTTTAGCTCTCAATGCTTTCAAAAGATTTAATGCTTCTGTGCCTCCAGCTCCAGTGCTGTCAGACACTCACAGGCTGCTTTATTTGAAAGGTGCCAGCTCCCCCAGCCCTGCAGCTCCCTCTGTCCAACTGCCCTGCTCTCATAGGTATTCACCACTCTGCCAGTATCTCTCACCATGAATTTTGTCCATTGTCTCTTTATACTATTCTCGCTTCCTGAATAAATTGTTGGATAGCATTTGGCTTGGAGCTGGCCCCTGGGAGTCTCTGCAGAGGGGCTCTTCACTTTCACAGCAGCTATTTTTGAAGCTTATGTATTTAATGGGATGTCCTACAACCTGAAGTCAAAAGTTGAACTTGGGTGCATTAGCACAGCTCTGGATATTGACTTGCCCATAGCCTCATGCTGTGGGACGGACTGGGCTTTGTGTTTTATTGACTGACCTCTTCCTTTTGCCTCTGCAGTTCTCCTTGAGCTGCCCAAGTCACTGGCCATCACTGGTGGCTATGCCCAGCAGTACCGAGCCGTGCAGCTGCACCTGCACTGGGGCTCCCCGTTGGGACCCGGCTCGGAGCACACCATCAACGGGCACCGCTTTGCTGCAGAGGTAAGGAGCCCTCATGGGGCTGGATCCATCCTCTCCTCTCCCTGTGCTGGGCAGGGAAGGTGCTGGAGTGCTGTCTCGCTCCTAGCCCGTGGCCCTGGTTGTCACTGGATGAATGCTGTAACCCCTGGCCAGGATCCCTTCTCCCCGGGCAGCTCTGCAGCTGTAGAGTTCAGGGTAGGAGGCCACGCTTTGGTGCTGAGACAGATTCATGCTGCAGCCTATGGTGCAGAAGCAAGGAGGAGACCACCCTCCAGGATGCTCTGCCCACAGGCGGGCTGGGGCTGGCTGCATGCGAGCAGTGCAGCCTTGTCCCCACGCTGCAGCCTGGTCCTGGGCTGATGGACCAGGAACTGAGGCCATCCCTGGGCTGGGGGAGCCAGCTCCCCAGGTGGCTGTGAGCAGCCTGCTTTGGGAGCTGCAGGGTCTGTTTACTCTGTACACACTGTCCTCCTGCTCAGCCGGCTCCCATCTGGTTTTATCCCTCCTTCTCTAGCTGCTGTCCTCAAACTGAGCCTGGCTCTGCAGTACGACCCCCTGGTATCTAGGGCAGAGTGCTGGATTGCTGTCCCTGGCTGGGGAAGTTCCTACGGGCAGATCTTCACACTTGCTGCTTTGCAGCAGCACATTTTCTCGGTCCTACCAGCATATTCCTCTCCTAGGAGGGGTGCTCATCATGGGTGCATATCTCCTGGCCCTTGTTCTGGCAGGCTGGAGCCGTGTGCGGGTGAGCACCTCCCAGCAGTGCCCATCCTGCATTGGGATTGCATGTTTCCCTTCCAGATCCACGTGGTCCACTACAACACCAAGTATGAAAGCATTGAGGAGGCAATGGTCCACCCAGATGGCCTGGCCGTACTGGGAGCCTTCCTGGAGGTGAGTCCCATAGATCATCAGCCCTGGGTGAGAAGGGGTAGGAGCAGGGGGAGGGTGGGACTAAGTGGGCAGAGTCAGGCACAGTTTTGGGGACTGGCAAAGGTGCAAAAGCCCTTGGGGAGAAGAGACAGAGGGCAGAGCAGCCCTGATAGGAGGAAGGGGTCACTGGGACAGAGTGTCTCTCACAGGGAGCCATGCTTCCTTGCTGGCACTGCCATCACCAGCCAGTCTCCATTTGGCCCGTGTCCTCATCATTACTGTGGGGTCTCTGTGTTGCAGGTTGGGCCAAAGGAGAACCCATACTATCAGGAAATACTTGAGCATCTGCACAAAATCCAAAGAGAAGGTAAGGCCCTGTGCCACCCAGCACTTGTCTCAGGGGCTACAGCCCACCAGAGAAACCCACTGCACAGCAGAGAGGCTGCAGCAGGCAGAGAAGGGGAGCATTGCACAGCTTGTACAAAAACAGCTCTCCAAGGTGCCCTCTGCTCGCATGTGCTTTCCCCTGCCTCCAGGGCAAACCCACTGCTCTTTCTCTAGTGCTCCAGCAGCAGCAGCATGGACCCTGGCACATGCAGTGCCAGGCTGCCCATGATCTCCACGCTGGTCCTGCCTGTTGCCCTCCAAGGGGTTACCCTGGTCTCACTCCCATGGTGTTTCTTCTCCCAGGCGAGGAAGTCTTGGTGTCCGGATTCAACATTGCAGGTCTGCTGCCTGATAACCTGAAACTCTACTTCCACTACAACGGCTCTCTGACCACCCCTCCCTGCTACCAGACGGTGAAGTGGACAGTCTTCAACCAGACCATGCTGCTCTCTCACAAACAGGTCTGTCAAAGCGATGAGCTCCATGCTGGGTCTTGCCCAGCCTCTCCCTGCAAACACGCACCATCCGTGCATGGCTCCTTGCATGGTCCCCTGGGGCTTGCCTGGCTCCCAAAGGTGGGATGCACCCTGCTCTGCTCACACCATTCTCCTTCCAGATGTTAATGCTGGTGACGAGCCTGAGAAATGATGACAGCAAACCCCTGCAGAACAATTACCGGCTGGTGCAGGGCTTGCACGGGCGACGGGTGCTGGCGAGTTTCCAGACCACCCTCATTTCGACGAAGCAGCTGCCTACTGGTAAGGAGTGCATGAGCGTGCTCAGGCTGCACCCAGCTGCAGGGGTGCAGAGGCGGGGTGATGAGCAGGAGTCCAGGCTTCATGTCTCTTAATGAAATGCAGCATTTGCATCGGTTAGCTGTGCCCGGCAGGTGACTTAGCGCAACACGGGTCTTGGAGTCCTGCTCTCCCCCATTTCCGCACTTCTCTCTTCCTTCCTGGGGAAGATAGTTCCTAGAAACCCATTTTATCCCTGGTCTTGCAGAAATAACAGTAGCAGGACTAGGGGATGCATGGTGAAGGGCAAACAGCCAGGTCTCAGCATCCCAGCTAGCTGCTTTATCCACAAACGCAACAGCTAAATTCTGTAGGAGCTCCAGAGGTTCAGGCTTGCAAGGAGCACCCCACCACCAAACCCTGCAGGAAGGCCAGGGCAGGGGACCCCTCCTGAAGGCTGTGCTCTGCCAGCAGGGCCACGCAGCTCTCCTGGCCGGGCACATGGTCCCTGCCTGGGACATCCCCGTCTGCCCGTCCTTGGTTTGTCCTCGAAGGCCTTTCTTGCGCTGGGGTTTCCAGCGATGAGTAGAAATTCCTGTTAATCCTCAGGTGTGACTATCACTCTGCATCGCTGTATTCTTGCCCCTTGCTGCTCTCTGAGGTCACTGGGGTTTTTCTGTCCAACATCCTGTTCCTTTTCTGTTTTGATGGCATTTCCTACACCTTGTATCAAGGTGACTAATAGGAACAGCACACAGGCTTGGTCCCAGGCCCTTGGGCAATGCCTCTGTAACCACGCACCATGGTGCAAGGCACTTCCCTTCACCGTTCCACCTGCAGCCAGCTCACTAACAGCTGCAGGCTTTTAATCACCGTGGTCTTCAGCCTGGCTAGCAGTTTCCCATGTGGCACCGCATCAAATGCTTCACTGAAGCTGGGAGAGATAAAATCTACCGCGCTTTCTTTGTCTAGAATATCACTTATCAAAGAAGGATATCGGGTTAGGCTGGCATGCTCTATCTTTGGTAAACCTGTTAGATACTTTATCATATTTTCCATTTACCTCCGAGCCTTTCTTTTACCACTTTCTTGCAGAAGCTGTTCCAAAGCCTCCAGCCACCAAGGCTGGGGGGAGTTGCCTAGTTCACTTTTTCCTTTTTTTTTTTTTTTTTTTTTTTTTCCTTCCCTTATTTGCTATTTCTATCAACAACCCCCACTTTAACAAAGCCACGAAGCCCTTGTTCCTGGAGTGCCAGGACATTGTCCCGGTACTCCTGGATGAGATTACTGGTCCCCCACCTTGCACGCACGGGGTTGTTGGGGTTTTCTCCCAACCTTGGTGTTGGTAACTGCCTGCTTTAGCCCTGGGGCCACTGAGCTCCAAGGAGTGCTGTGGGGTCATGTCTCACTTTGCTTGCAGCTGCACCTCCTGCGCCCACACTTGTTGATCTTGCCCCAGTCACCCCGAGTTCAGGAGCCACTCCTGCCCCGGCTGCTGGGCAAAGGCGACGGCTTCCCCGCAGCGGCCACGCAGCTGGATACAGCCTGCAGATAGTGCCACTCTGCGCACGATACCCGAGTAGTGTACAGATGATAATGCAGCTGTTTAAAACCCATGCTGTCACGCCGGGTAAATATTTGCCTGGCACAGCTCCTGCCCAGCATGTACGGCCACCAAATGATCCCTGTGCAGGGTGCCCTGCCGGCAATGGCCGACTGCTTCCTCCCAGGGAGCTGCTCACCATCTCGCTCCAGACAACCATCCCCACAGTCGCTGCCTCATGGGCTCACCTCATGCCCCTCGCCAGGGTCTCCTGCAGGGTTTGGTGCAGTTATGGGCTGCTGCGGTGCTCAGCACCCTGCCTTCCCAGGCAGCGGCAGCAGCAGTGGGAGTTTCTGACTGGGCTCAGTGAGGCTTTTGTGTGGGCTGTGGTTCAGGGATTTTTTTTTTTTTTTTTTGGTTTGGGGGTGGGTTTTTTCCCCCTCAATGCTTCTGGTGGGGTGTCAGGGCTATGCTTCCTGCAGATTTGACACTTCCCTCCCCAGACATCTCAGGCAACCTCTTAACTGCTCTGTCTCTCTTCCAGGTGGTGATGGCTCAGCAGCAGCAGGTAGGTGAGGGGCTGGCCCGATGGAGGGGAAGGGGGCTAGGGGGTGTACCTGCCTGGGAAGGGGGGGGCCCCGGCAGCCATGCACTGAGCTGGGGGGGCAGGCAGCCATGGTGGGTTGCAGGGCTGCCCTAGGGTCTACAGAACTGGCTCTCATCCTCTCGTCTCTGTCTCCTTTGCAGAAGGACACTCCAGCTCTTCATTTCACGCAGGTAAGCGTGCTCAGCCCAGGCTGCTGCCTTCATGTCCCCTCTGCCATTGGGCTATCGGCCTGCTCCAGCCTTGCCCATCTCCCTCAGCCACTAGCCACAGGGCACCATCCCCAGTTAATGTGCCTGTGCTTGGCTTGCAGGGGATGTGCTGGCCGTGCTCTTCGGTGTGCTCTTTGCTGTCACAGCACTGGCCTTCCTGCTGTACATCTACAAGCACCGCAGCCAGAACACACGGTGAGCGATGGGGAGCTACAGGAGGAGGGGGCCCGGGGGGTAGTATGGGTCCAGGGCACGAGGAGGGTTAAGTCTCCTGGGCAACAAGATGGGTTAGCAGGGCCCCCTCCCACCTGCTCTAATGCTCCACTGCTTCCTACCCCACCAGGCTGGACTCACCGACCAAATCCAAGGTCATCTACACAGCAGCCACCACAGAGAACACTGCATGAGCCCTGTGCCTCTGCGATGGTCCCAGCCCTACCGGTTCAGCCTCTCCTTGCTCCTACTCTGGGCCAAGGGAGCTCCAGCACTCCACCATCCCTCGGTTGCACAGGCTGCCCACACAGACTGTTTGCCTGGGGCGGCATTTGGCCCCAGCACTATTTTTGTTATAAAAGGTAAAAAATGTATTAAAAAAAAAAAAAGTAAAAGCCTCCCATGGTGCTGGCCCTCTCTGCTGTTCTTGCACAAAGCTATGGGCCAGGAAAGGGCACCAGTGGAGCTGGACCCACAGTGGAGAGGGGCGTGCAGGGACAGCATCGGCCTCCATGCCCCGGGCAGAGCTCCAGAGCAAGCAGTGCAGGGCTCCTTGCACAGCCTGGCCCTGCCCTCCATCGCTCTGGGACTTCTTCCTCCTCTTATTTGTGTAAAGCATTGGAAAAACATAAACACAGCTTGGTATGGCTGAAGAAAGGCAGAGCTGAAGGTGGCAAAGCCACCGCTTCCTTGCTGGCCAGCCCCCACCCAGCTCCACCGTAGCTGGAGCTGTCCCAGATCCACGGCTGCCTCCCACCTTTCCTGATGGCTCCAGCTGCACTCTAGCCAAGCCCCAGGGAGCTCTACGGCCACGCCAAAACCAAGAGAAACAGGCCAGGTCCGTGAGAGGGAAGGAACCTGCAGGTCTGCAGCTCTCAGCAGCCTCCATGTATTAGCAGTAAACTTAAAGTGTAGTCCCTAATCCTAATAAGGATGGACAGAGCTGGCACAAGACCTCCAGGCAACGGGGGTCTGCAACAGCCAGATGTTCCCCCGCTGGCACCACTGGTGCAGGCTGCTTGCACCCTCCCCAGGAGGGCAGCGCCGTGGGCCACACACAGCCTTGCTTGTCCATGGTACTTCTTTTTATTGGTATAAAAGCCCACTGTGGATAAAACTGCCTTCTCAGCCCTGAGCCCAATGGCAGTTTCTCCCTCCCAGCCCTGTGGCACAGCATCAGGGTTGATGCCTGCCTGAATATCCCCTTTCAAGCACAGGAGAGGGCAATGGTCCACTGGAACAGCCCCTTGAATCCCCTTCCCAAGCTGTGCCGGCACCAGCTGTGGGGTTGCATCTCCTCCTGAGCTCTCCACCACCCTCTGCATCTGCTGGGTCATTTGGGTACCACCTTTTCCCCATGCTCCTCCCATCCTGGGTGCAGTCAGTTCCCTCAGGCCTCCCAGCACCATCTTCCCTGCACCAGGACACTGGCTCACTGTAGCTACCGCAGGCCAGCACTGGGGCCACAGCTCTGAGGGCAGCAAGGCTGGGCAAAGAGGAGGAAAAAGTAGCACCACAGGGGTCAGACCCAACCCAGAGTACAGCAGGGCTTTGCAAAGCTGATTCCTCCACCCTGCAGAGAGGAGGTGATGCGGGCCCCCTGTCCCAGCACAGGGGACAGCACATCTCTTGCGGTGGGGGGAGAAGCAATGGGTATCTTTGGGCTCAGGCCTCCGGCAGTCCAAGGTACCATCCCTCCCAGGCAGGCTAACTGGGGCTCCACTTGTGGCGGGGCCAGCAAAGCTGGGTTCCCCCAAAACTAAGCTGTTCTCCGGGGGCTCCCAAAGGGGTGTTGGATTGAGCTAGTCCCAGTCACACCAGTCAGCTGACTGCCACAGCCAGACCCCAGCACCTGCCCTGGCCAGGGTCCCCTAGTCCAGAGAGAAAGATATTGCAGAGAAGGTGACGTCCGCTCTTGCCACCAGGATGGAGGGGAGGACAGGGGTGGCTGGGGACAGGAACATCCCACAGGGCCTCAGGATCCTGGCTGGGGGCTGGCTCCGCTCTGTAGACCTGCAGGAACCAAGAGGAGAGGGGTCAGTTTTCACCAGACTTCCTACCCCACCCACTTTCCCCAGGAGAAACAACCAGACCACAGCCCCGCTACCCAGCTTCTCCTCCAGTCTGGCAGCTGAGGGGACGACACCCTTGTTCCAGCCCCAAGGACACCTTCTCCCCAGCCCTGGTACCCAGAGGGACCCACAGGGTCCCCCATCCCCCTTATGGAGCAGGACTTACAGAGCAAGAAGCGCCGCAGGTTCTGGGCAGATCCCCCCGAGAGTATGTAAGCCCAGGCAGCGGCAACAGCCATCAGCAGGTAGGAGGGCACCAGGCTGCCCACGTACAGGGGGTTGCAAAACGTCTGGGGAGAGAGGCGGGAGAGGAGAGAGGTGAGCAGGCAGAAGAGGACAGGGACAGGATGGGTGGCAGCATCACCACCTCAATGAGCAGAGGGCGACATGGCCTCAAGTTACACCAGGGCAGGTTTAGGTTGGACATTAGGAAAAATTTTTTCAATTAAAGGGTTGTTAAGCATTGGACCGGGCTGCCCAGGGAAGTGGTCAAGTCCCCATCCCTGGAGGTTTTTAAAAGACAGGTAGACGAGGGACATGGTTTAGTGGTGGGATGGCAGTGCTAGGTTAACGTTTGGACTTTATGATCTTTAAGATCTTTTCCAGCCTAAATGATTTTATGATTCTAGGGGACACCAGCTCCAGAATTCAGTTCGTGAAAGGCCAGCTGCAAGTCCCCCAAACCCAATTCCTTTTCTAGTGCTGAAGGCTCTTCCCCCCACCCAGCTACGGGGGACCAGCATGCACCACAGCTGTCCCCAGATACAGGGTCCCAGCACAGAGCTCTGCTCCCAGCTACTCACCGACCCCGAAACAGCAAGGTGCATGACAACAACAACCATGATCTCCCACCAGCGCCGATGCTCACAGCCATGGAAGAAGAGGATCCCCCAGAAGGTGTGAAGGAAAATCAGCACCATGGTCATGAAAGCTGCAGGGAGCGGCAGAGGGGTGTCACCAGGGAACAACCCGCCCTGACCTGGCCTGCAGGCTCGTGAAGGGATGGAGGGGAACCAGGGAAGGGTAGTAGGGGCACTGCTGGGCTGGACTGGGAGGTGCTGGGGTAGACCCCGAGTGTGGGAGGGATGGGGGAGAGGAGCAGGGAGTCACAGGGGAAGAAAGAAAGGTTTGGCACAGAGATGTGACAGGGGACTGTAGGGGCTCAGATGGGTAGAGGGTGCAGCATGGAGGGGAGAGTCCAGCCCCTGGGTCTGCCACCTCTGTGGTAGGGCAGAGACATGAGCAGAGGGTGCCAGTCGCTCACCTGAGGTCAGGAAGTAGAGCTGTGAATCCCCATGGATGCCCACAGTGCCGGGCCCCAATGCGTCTGCCAGCAGATTGATCATGGAGAAGGCGCCACTCATGAGCCCAAATCCCACACCAGCCACTGCCGGGACAGGAACATCATCAGGCCCTGAGCCTCCCAGGGCCACCACAGGCACCTCCCAGCCAGCTTCAGCATGAGAAACCTCTCCCTCCCCCCAGCGCCATGCCCAGCCCTGCCCGGGCTCAGCCCCGGCCCCGTGGTCGGGGTGCCCCGCTCTGCACAGCACTCACCATATGCCATTTGCTGGATGGAAATGGGGGAGCAGCCGTCCTCGCTGAGGGCCACCAGCCCCTCGATGGCCTTCCTGTGAGGGGACAGCATGCTGGAGCCTGGCACAGCCCGGCCACCTCCCACGGCACGGTACAGCACCAGGATGGAGCAGAGGGGTCTCACTCTGCCCCACCCCACCCTCCTGGTAACCCCCCAGTCGCTGAGCTGCAACACCCACCACGGAGAGCATCTGCGTGACCGCCCTGAACCACCGGACAAACCACGCGCACGAAAGCCACACAAAGCCACACAGAAAGATTTTCCACAGAGGAATGTGAGTGCCAGCCAGCCCCGCAGAGCAGGGCTGGGGTGAGCGGGACACTGGGTGCAAAGCAAGCAGCACCCACATGGAAAACAGCCCCGGTGCAGGCGTGGGAGGCGCATGCCGGGAGGGTGTACCCGATCCCCGCATTCATACTCATAGAAGACGCTGAAAAAAAATGGAGGGAGTGCAGGGAAGAGCTCGAAGAGCTAAAAAAATTCTTTAGGGAGAGAAACTGGGAGAAGTGGGCTTCGTAATTTTTATCAGCTAGAGGTGTGGAGGGTGAGGACGCCAGACGGCTCCTTAGCCCAGGGAGGACAGCAGCGCTTGCAACCGGCGA